TTCAGACTGAGGTTACTAGGAAGCAAATACATATATGACATTTATATGAATAAATGTCATATATAGGGATGTGGATGAGTATTCGAATGCCCATGTATGAAGTATTTACATCTGTGTTTTCATTCATTGACGAAGTATATACTGCCTTGCACAAGTATTTAACCCCCTTGAATTTTACCACATTTTGTAGTATTACAACCTGGAATTGAAATGGATTTAATTGGGACTTTTACAATATGGTTTACACAATATAGCTAACATTTGAAGCTACAAAAAATATTTTATTGCGTCACAAAGGTTGTGTAACGAAAATACAGTTATTTGATGGTTGCATAAGTATTCACCCACTGCGTCAGTACTTGGTAGAACCACCTTTGGTTGCAAATAGAGCAACTAGAGCAAAATAGAGCAATAGAGTTTTCTGGGATGTGTCTTGATCAGCATTTCCCAAATGGATTCTGATGTTCGTGCCCTTTGGTCTTGGCAAAATTGCTTAAGCTCTGGCAGATTGAATGGGAGATTGATGTTATTGAACAGCAGTTTTCAAGTCTCTCAATCGGATTGTGGTCTTGGGGGGTGGATTAATACTTATGCAAGGTAATGTATCACATTCATTGCCACTGTGGTTGTATAAAGTTCATTCACCCAGTGCGATTTCCAATCATCCTACCCTCAAATGTAAAAGTGGTTGTAGCCTTTTCAAGTGAAAAGTTTTTGTTTTTCATTTCTGTTTATTATTTCTCTGTATTACGTCTGTCAATCACATGAACCCGTGTGCCACCACAGACAGGAAAAACAATTCATTGTAGTGAAAAATGATACTTGATTACACCATCTTGAATCCAGTTTTCTCCATGTCCTTCCAGTTAAGCAAACAAAGTATAGGTAATTACCCAGCCATTAGGTTTTCTGTTATCTTAGGTAGTCAAGTTGTCTGTTTATACTACCGTTGCTGAATGAGCCTCGCTAAGCTACAGGAGAGACTACAGGCAGATGCTAATGCTACTAACACTAACTGACAGGTTTAGATGGTAAATAAATAAAAGGCATTTGGTGAGGAATGTTTGCATATTATTTAAGCCAAGTCTTGGTAAGATATAGAAAGAAAAAAAAAAAAATTGTCATTATTTGGCTGTTTGCCATTGAATAGGGACAACTGGTGAATAGCACCAACTGGCAGGTTTTCCTATACCACAGATATATGAAATTCTTACCTTTTAAGTAAAATGCATTAGAACCATCTAGAATCCTCTATATTTAGTAGGTGGATAAAAGCATCATATTTTTTTCTATTCTAAAATAAATTTGGCCTAAAGGCTAGCGTGTCACAATTTTGTCCTAGTATTAATTACTTCTTATATACAGTGCCCTCCAGAATTATTTGCCCCCCAGCGTGGCGCAACACAAAAGCGTCACCCTATCATCAAGAGATCGTGAGTGTAAATCCTTGATTTCAACATGTTTTGTTTTCCGTCACAACATTTTATTCATTGGTGCGAAATACTGGTTTCAAAATTATTGGCCACCTTACAATTTCGTGACACCTTGTCTGGTGAGAAAAATAGCACTGAGTCTCTTCCTGTAATGTCTGACAAAGTCGGAGACACTTGTAGAGGCGTAGAGGCATAGTGATCCAAGTTTTTTCCAGAATGATACTGTTTGCATTTATTTACAATATTCCTTCTGGTGTCGCTAATTTTGCCACATATATTTTTGAGAGAATACTATTTTTTTTAAAAAGTAGTTCTAAAGAGTGATTTTGTCAGAACCACGATACATATCAATTTGTTTGCTTATTTTTTGAAGGCTAGTATGTCTGAAGGGCACTGTAAATATTTCAAACAGACCTTGGTCTTTCTTTCTGTCACTTTCTCCTTTTCAATATTACAGTCTGTCTATACATCTAGTCTTAATAACAGTATTATGGCAGGCAGTGAAATATTGATATAATTAGAACAAATCAGATTTGTATTGCAAGACTTAATGCAATCAATGCAATTTAAAGTTATTAATCAGTTCACCGGTGGAGGTTGCTTCTGAGATAAAGGTCGAACCTCTCAAATCGAAAATGTAGGATTTGGAAGTGTTTTTTGTTGATATTTTTACACTAATGAAAGTTGGTTAGGTTTGAAAGTAAACGAGTCCACACTTACCTGTAATTACTGCGCTTTCTACCATAAGTGTTATTTAAGTTTTTATTAATGATTGATGTTCCTTTTATTCTTAAGTAGATGATCAGGAGTGTGGTGCGTAACCGTGTGAGGGACATTTCAGAGCACAGGTCTGAAACGGTCTCTTCCTCTCGTTTACTCTGTCGCTTTTCTGTCTTTATAACGGCCTGCTTCAAGTAAAATTGTGCTACTGTTAAATTGTCAGATGCCAGCACATAAAAGGGGATCTTTCTATTAAAAAAAAAGTCTGGAAGTAAAAAAAAAAATTGCCTTCGTCATATTGTACTGAAACTGTCCAAATAAAAACGTTAGTTATAGATTGGGATCTATAACGTAGTAAAATTACAGGTTATCAATCATTTCCTGTTTACTCTTACTCAGAGAACAGAATCATAGGATTGCCTCCTTTACTGAAAAGGACACATATGATGCACCTTCATTTTTATTTTTTTTTTCCAAAAACTTTTTCTCAACTTATTTGTCTGCCTTCCAAATAAGACTTTATCTTAGGAGAACAAACACTGCCCAAAAGTACTAACAGTCTAGGCAGACTCCTCCTGACTAGTGACAAAATTTGAATGCGTCCACGACCTATCACATGCTTTAAATTTATTGATCCATTATCTACCTGATTATCAGCTTATGCTAGTCTGCTGTGTTTTCTTTTGCTATTAAAACTGAATACTGAAGGGAATAGTCACCGTCTTCCAAATGCATACCAAGGATAAGAACATTTTGATCATTATGTTAGTAATCCATTATATGCTCATCTGTTTTGTAGCAGGTTTTACACACCTATCAGTAAAACTGAACTGAATGCTCTTATGAGGCGACGAGACCCGTTTCAGGCCTGTGATATGAAGTGTAAATCTGTTTTTATTATTTTTATGGGTTTTTATATATATATATTATTTTTTTTTTTGGAAGATCAATTAGTGATCTCAGTGACAGAATTATGCCAAGTTTGTAATTGTATAATATTTACTGTAAGATGTAGAACGTTCAATAACTATTAAAAAAAATTTCCCAAAAAATGCTTGTTTTTGATTTTTTTCTGCGCTTACACATCAGTTTTACGTTCTTCCTGTGTTCATTGAGGTTCCTCTGGGTTCTCCAGTTTCCTCCCACCTCCTACAGACATGCCAGGAGGTGGATTGGTGACTGTAATTTGCCTTTAGGTGTGCATAAGTGTGTGAATGTCGCTGTGGTGCCCTGCAATAGACCGGAGTTCCATTCTGGGTGTATTCCTGCCTCATGTCCAGTGTTTCCAGGATTGGCTCTGGATCAGCCTCAGCTCTGAAGAGGATAAAGCAATTACTGAAGTTGAATGACTGGCTGAATAAAAAAAGATCCAGCTCAAATGCTATTTCTTCATATACATTCTTAAAATTCCATTGTTAAGATTTGTTAAAGATTCCCACTTTTATATGAATACTTGTCTAAATATCAGGGATCCTCTATATCCTTCCAGCGTTCAATACAATTCTGCCTTCAAACTTTTGGAGGCGGGGCCTACAGGCAGAATGATACCAAATTCTGGCTGTCAAAGATGGCTGCCTTCATAACAATACAGTATTTACCTAGAAGGAGAAGTTTTCATCAGTTTTAAGATTTGCCACAATTGAAGTATAATATTACTGAAGAATGAATGGTGTAGGAATTACATGACATTTTTATGTGTTTTTTTAAGGGACCAAAACTGATTGCACAATTGAGTGCTCATCTCTTCCCTGGCCAGTTGGGTGTTATTCCCAAATTATTTCACTTATAATTCAGCAGATAAAAGTTCTAGAGTTGTAGCATTTGCATTTGGAGTTTGTTACTGTTTAATTCACAATATGAAGTCCAAAAAGCTGTCACTGCCAGTCACGCAAGCCATCATTAGGCTGAAAAATTAGAACAAACCCTTCAGAGAGATAGCAAAAACATTAGGTGTGGCCAAATCAACCTTTTGGTACATTCTTAAAAAGCTGTTGAGCTTCCTCCAGGAGGTAGGCGTCTCTGTGCTAAAGTCAACAGTCAAGAGAAAACTTCACCAGAGTAAATACAGAGGGTTTACCACAAGATGTAAACCAACAAGATCAGATTAGATTTTGCAAAAAAAAAAACTGCTTTAATTCCTACACCTTTCACCCGATTTGGATGTAAACACCTTTAAATTAAAGCTGAAAGTTTTAATTTAAAGGTGTTTTTTGAAATAATGTATATGACCAGCTCTATGAGGTCATATACATTATTTAATTTCAACTCCAATATACTGTGGTAGACAAGCAAAAAAAAAAATCAATAAACAATAAATTTGTCAATGTCCAAATATTCACGGACCTGTCTGGACACAAATTTATGAAACTTTTTTTTTTTACCAAAAAAAATTTTTTTTTGAAATTATTTGAAACATGGGGGTCCCTGCAGAACTAGTGGTTAGGCCACTGCATTCTCATCACTGAGGCCCGGGTTCGATTCCCGGCCAGGGGACCTGTCACATGTCAGTGTACTCCCAGTGACGGGCCCAAGCCTGGATAAAATTGGGGAGGGTTGTGTCAGGAAGGGCATCCTGAGTAAAAACTGTGCCAAATCAAATATGCAGACCAATGATCCGCACACGACCCCTAACCCCCTAACGGGAGCAGCCGAAAGAAGAACAACTTGCAACATTGGCAATCAATGGTTAGGGTAGTGCGCTCCATGACTGCTAGTGGGACCTTAGCCCTCATCTGCACAGCTGTGTGCTTGGATTGTATTCTCTCTCTCACAAGTGTGTAAAATGAAACGTAAATGATTCATTTTCACAATTGGTAATCGATCTTGAATGAATAAATAGGAATGAATGGCACACAGATAATGAAATTTTTTTTTTTCTGTTCTAGTAATTGCGTGTGCATAAATACTGTGTTTGCACTGCATGAGAAATGTGTCAAAATGATCATATATCAGCATGTTTCACTTCTCTCTCATAACCTCAGACTTCCTGAATGAAGCAATCTACATACGTCTTTCGACAGCAGACGTTTCACTATCAGAAATAAAAGTAACAAACTGTACTATTCCTTACTGCAAGGCCTTTTGGACCGTTAGTGTGTATCTTGTACCTTAAAGGAGCATCATATGTGCATTCTTAGATAAACTGGTCCTTAAGGCCCAATTATGTACTTTAAATTATTTTAAACATATACTATATTCATATTTTCAGGGAGAAGATACACACTAAAGGTATGAAAGATGTATCCTTGTTAGTACCACCCCAGCACTAGGAAAAGTACAGTTTAGTATGTTTATTACTGAGTGCTTTAGCATGTGCTATAGATACATGGCTATTTCTTAAAGTGTGTATGTTTTGTAGCAACAATTCATAGGCTACAGTAACTTATCTAGCCAATTGTGATAATTTACTAATTACTTAAATAATGCTTAGTTGTGTTAAGTAGAATAAATATGTAACCCTTCAAAACCTAATAAGCACTAATAATAATCCACTGTAAAAAAAAAAAAAAAACTATCCTGTAAATTTACAGTAACTTACTGTCAGAAGAGTCGTTACTGTAATTAACGTTTACAGTTTTCTAACTTTTTGTAACTTTGTTTACAGTTGTGTACTGTAGTACATTGTATTATATTTTATAAAACTTTACAAAATATAGGAAACAATTTTACAGGACTATATATTGATAACAGTAAATACTCTAAAAATGACCCACAAATGCTCGATTGGATTGAGATCTGGGGAATTTGGAGGCCAAGTCAACACTCTGAACTCTTTGTCATGTTCCTCAAACCATTCCTGAACAATTTGCAGTGTGGCAGGGCGCATTATCCTGCTGAAAGAGGCCACTGCCATTAGGGAATACTGTTGCCATGAAGGGGTGTACTTGGTCTGCAACAATGTTTAGGTAGATGGTGTGCATCAAAGTAACATCCACCTGAATGCCAGGACCCAAGGTTTCCCAGCAGAACATTGCCCAGAGCATCACACACACACACACACACACACACACACAAAAAGAAAAACCCTCCCCAACAGAGTTTTGGACTGATGGTATTCCTAGTTTGTGACCTAGTCAGCCAATATCAGAATGTATTTTTGATAGACTTCAAAGCACTACTGTAAGTCGCTCTGGATAAGGGCATCTGCCAAATGCCATAAATGTAAATGTAAATGTAAATCACACTGCCTCCTCCGGCTTGCCTTCTTCCCATAGTGCATCCTGGTGCCATCTCTTCCCCAGCCGTCCACATGATGTAAAAGAAAATGTGATTCATCAGACCAGGCCACCTTCTTCCATTGTGCCATGGTCCAGTTCTGATGCTCACGTGCATCTGCAGGTCTGCAGTTACGCAGCAAGCTGCAATGCACTGTGTGTTCTGACACCTTTCTATCATGGCCAAAATTAACTTTTTCAGCAATGTGTGCTACAGTAGCTCTTCTGTGGGATCGGACCAAACGGGCTAGCCTTCACTCCCCATGCACATCAGTGAAACTTGGACACCCATGACCCTGTCACTGGTTCACCGGTTGTACTTCTTTGGATAACTTTTGGTAGGTACTAACCACTACATACCAGGAACACCCCAAAAGACCTGCCGTTTTGGAGATGCTCTGACCCAGTTGTCTAGCCACACAATTTGGCCCTTGTCAGAGTTGCTTAGGTCCTTACACTTGCCCGTGTTTCCTGCTTCCAACACATTGACTTCGAGAACTGACTGTTCACTTGCTGCCTAGTATATCCCACTCCTTGACAGGTGCCATTGTAATAAGATAATCACTGTTATTCACTTCACCCGTCAGTGGTTTTAATGTTACGGCTGATCGTTGTACATTTTAACACATCTTAATAAATTTGACAAAGTTCAACAAAAAAAACCTAACAGTTTCTGATCACAAAAACGATATCAATATAATTAGAAAATAAGAACTCACAGCACTTACAAAATGAACGAATGAATCAGCAATCAAGTTACAGAATTAAAAGCTGCTACAATAAAAGATTTTACAATAGCAACCTGCTGAAATGAACAATGAGAATAACAGTGACAAATTCAGTAGGTCAATTTGCTGAAAGCTGTAGAAAACAAGAAGAAAATAAGCTTTATGGGTTATCTATTTAAAATACCAAGCTAGCTAGCAAACCTTAACTACCTAGTTAGCTATAGCCCAGTTTAAACTTGGTGCCCTTATGCTTGTACCCTGATTCACGAAATAATTGTAGTTGTCTTTTTATTATGTAAACCTTGGATGACAAAGGAATGGTAATGAAAAATGATCTAATGAGGCAGAAAAAAGGTTCTTTTGCTATGTAAGAGCTTTTAGCACCAAGTTTTATAGTAAAATTAATGATACTGTATGTTTTGCTGTGTTATCACAATTATTTACAGTGTTAGTGTAGCTATACAGCAAGGTCCTCAGAAATAGTTTCCCAGAATGCCAGGCAGGCATCAAACCGTAACACACAAGTATCATACTGGCTTGAATAGTGTTTAATTATAAAAAACATACAGAAATGTTACAGTGCATCAGATTCACCAAGACATGAACCTGGAAAAAATGTTTTTGCTGTGAATCTTAGATATTTGAAAACTGGATTTGACTTAAGGTCTTCACAAAGTAGAAAATCATTTTGGTATTTTGATTTTACCAATGTATGCATTTTCTACTGCATTCTATTGGGCCTTCTATAATGTCCTTTTTATTTCCTGATTCCGGGATTCAGTGGTTCATTTGTTCTGTGTATGGCAGGCCTGACCCCTTTAAAGGTGTAAGAGTGGCCACCTAAAAGTTTCCCCGTAAATAAACCAAAGAAATAAAATGTAGTGGCATATGCACAGCTCACATTTTTCACTTTTTTTTTTTTTTTTTTTACACAAGATAGTAGCTGGATACTTGTATGGATGACATACAGTGGATACTAAAAAGTTAAAATGGCAAGTTATTGTGATGAAAAGATTAAACCAAGATAAATCAAGTCAGAACTTTTTCCACCCTCAATGTGAAATTACAATGTATAAACATTTTAGGGAAAAATAGGAAAAATAAAAAAGTTACAGTAACCTTGCTTTTATAATTGGGGATGTGGCTGTGTTCAGAATAAACCAATTACATTCAATCTCATGTTCAAAAGTTATTATAATACAGTTGTCATCAAAGAATTTATTCTGATTAACCCCAAATAAAGACCAGTTGTTTCTGTAGGATTTTCATCACATCTTCTTGGTTTCATCTGATTGCTGAAGCCCTGGTCTGTAAACAGCTGACGAAACCTGTACAGGGTCTCACTGTCAAAAGGAATCAATCAGGAGAGGGGTATGAAAAAATTTCCAAAACATTAGATGTACCATGGAACACCGTGAAGGCCTTCATCAACAAGTGAAGAAAATGGAGCACCACAGTGACATCACCAAGAACAGGACGTCCCTCCAAAATTTACTAAAGGACAAGACCAAAACTTACCAGGGAGGCTGCCTAGAGACCTACAGCAATATTAAAGGAGCTGCAGGAATATCTGACAAGTACTGTGACAAGAATCTCTCGTATTGTTCATATGTCTGGGCTATGGGGTAAGCCCACCTACTTCAATCCAACCATGTGGCAGAATGGGTTATGGTCTGACGAGACCAATTCCAAAAGAAGCAGAAGCCTTTGTTTGTCACATAAACATTACAGCACAGTGAAATTCTTTTCTTCACATATCCCAGCTTGTTAGGAAGCTGGGGTCAGAGCACAGGGTCAGCCATGATACAGCACCCCTGGAGCAATGAGAGTTAAGGGCTTTGCTCAAGGGCCCAACAGTGGCAGCTTATCAGTGCTGGGGGTTGAACCCCCCGACCTTTTGATCAGTAACCCAGAGCCTTAACCACTGAGCCACCACTGCCCTATAAATGGCCATAATAAAGGTATAATAATTCCATAAATCCAAAAGGTATGTTTGGCACAAAAGAAATGCATATCAACAAAAGAACACCATACCCACGGTGAAGCATGGTGGTGGCAGCATTGTGCTTTAGGGCTGCTTTTCTTCAGCCAGAACTGCGGGTTTTATCAGGGTGGAGGGAATCCAAGGAATGGCTTTTGAATGGCCTAGCGAGAGCCCAGACCTGAATCCAACTAAAAATCTGTGGGGTGACCTGAAGCGGGCTGTGCACAGGAGATGCCCTTACAATTTGACAGATCTAGATGTTTTTGCATGAAAGAGTGGGGAAAATATTCAAAAGTCAAGATGTGCCAAGCTGATAGACTCCTACCCAAAAAGACTGAGTGGTGTAATAAAATCAAAAGGTGCTTCATCAAAGTATGAGTTTAGGGGTGTGCACACTTATGAAACAAGGTTATTGTACTTTTTTTTTTTTTTTCCCTAAAAGGTTTCTGATTGTTTTTCACTTTATTTGTGTACTTTGCAATTGCACATTAGATCAGTGGGAAATGATCTGACATGGTTTATCTGAGTGTCATTCTTTTACTTCACAAAGACCTGCCATTTTAACAG